CGAAAACATTTCTATATGATGTCAGATTTCTCTTAATTTAGTTGAATCTGTGTTGTGACCAATGTTTTAAAATCTAGGTCAGTGATCGACTCGGTAAAATTACTGGGTCACACTAGGTTACTGGTCGGGCCAGTTGGTCACTGGTCAGACCGCATGACTTTTGACCCGATTTCTATAAAAAAATATATTCATTACCTGAAATTTGTAACTATAATAATATAGAAAATTATAAATTCAAATAATTTAGAATAAACAAAAGTATTAGTAACAATCAAAATAAGTGATAAAAACTTAATGTAGCAAATTATAAATTCAAAGAAGTGATAGAAACTTAACAATTCATAAGTTATAGTATTATAATAAGTCACAAAAATCCATACTCAACGATCCATAATTTTTTATGTCCATGAAGTCAAATTGTCATAATCTTGATATTCATATCCATCTTCAACTTCATTATCTTCTCCACCAACTTCATCTTCTCTGGTGTTACTTTTTTCTTGATTCACAGTATCAACAATAGTATTTTGTGCATTACCCATATCTCCATCTTCATCCTCATCTAAATCTATTTGATCTATAATAATATTTTAAAAAATAATTAACAAAAAAAATTTAGAGATGGTAAATATGAGACATTAAATTAATTCACAACCACAAACTATATTATGCTCATATTAGAACATACCAATATCACTTGAAATTGCTTGGATGGTCATATTTGCAAGGTCATTCCGCAATGCTTCCAACTCTTCATTGGTTAAGAGAGGTGGTGAATCCTATAATACCCAACTAGAATGATCGGCAATTGTTTTAATATTGATAGGATCATAACTCCCATTTCTTATTTTCCTAAGCACACATGAATTAAATCTAAGTATATGTATTTAAATGTAAAAATATAATGATCAGAGAAAAATAACCATAATAATATCTATTTTGAAGTCTCAAGTTGTAACGAACAAACACTAAATCATTAAGCTTTTGGTGCTCCAATCTATTTCTTTTTTTGGAATGAATATGCTCAAATATACTCCAATTGCATTCACAACCTGGAGCACTACAAGTTTGGCTTAAAATACGAATAACTAACATTTGCAAAGTTGGTGTACAAGTGCCATAAGTTTCCCACCATTGATCTGTTTATACCATGTGATTAAATAAATTTATAAACATATTGAAATATAAAATAAAATATATATCAAGAGTTAGAAGTTATGAAATTACCTGCCCTCACAATACATCGTTCATCCACGGTTGATTTCCTTCCAAAATCTAATTCACCGTCTTTGAATATTCTAATCTCATCTGTTAACTTCAATCGAAGTTCAGAATTTTCATTAACATGCTTTTCAATGACATCTAAAAGTCCTGATATTGTGGATGCATGTTTTTCAAATTCTACATCATTATATCTACAAGCTGGATTCAACCAATAACCGACAACATGAAGATTTTTGCAGAGCTGTAAATCCCAACGTTTATCTAAGATTTTCAAGTAAGGATCCACTTTCTTCTTATTTCTTTGAAACCTCCTCACCATCTTCTCTCTAGCTTTGACTATAGATTTGTATAGAATGCCCATAGCAGGTTTATCTTCACTATCAACAATACGCAACACACGCACAAGTGGTTCAGTGAGTTTAACTACATCAGCACATTTACTCCAAAATCCAGAATCTAAAACTTGATCCACAAACTGTTTTACCTTTGCTTCTTTGGCATATGCTGAACTTGTCCATTCTTTAGATGTTACCATGGCTCTTAGTGAGTTTTTGTGAGACAAAATACTTTACAAAGCAATGAAATTAGTGGCAAACCGAGTTGGAGCAGGACGAAGGATTTCTCTTCTACCTGTTTGCTTTCTCATTAAATACAATGCATAACAATGGTTATAAATATATTTGGTAACATTAGAAGCATGTGACACTGTCTCACTTATTTCCTCTAATTTTCCCATGTCTTACAACACCAAGTTAATGCAATGTGCCGCACAAGGAGACCAAAATAAAGTAGGAAACTCATTTTCTAATAACCTTCCAGCAGCAACATAATTTGCAGCATTATCTGTCACTATGTGAACTACATTTTCAGGCCCAACAAATAAAACCACCTCTCTAAAAAGCTTATACAACATATCTGCAGTTTTTGAAGCATGAGAAGCATCAACAGATTTTAGAAAAATAGTACCTTTGGGACAATAAACTAGAAAGTTTATAAGAGTTCTTCTTTTTCGATCAGTCCATCCATCGGCCATTAGAGTACAACCAGTTTTCTTCTAAATCTCGCGATACTCCTCTATCAATTTGTTCACATCTTCAACCCATTTATTTAACAAATAGCCACGAAGACTATACATAGTTGGAACTTTATACCCCAGACTCATGCTGCAAAATGCATCAGCTATATATTGAAAATACGCAGAATTAGCTGCATTGAATGGCACAGAAGAATCAATGAACCATTTTGCAATAGCTAGATCACACTTCTCCACCAATTCCTTACTTTGTAACACACTTTTTAAAGAAGGTTGAGCTCCAGGAGTTGTTATAGGCATAAAACAATTACCAATACGACTAGTATTCTTTCTCTTTTGAGACACAATCACCGAATTTGATCTTGATTGTTCTACATCCATTTCTACTACACCACCCTCTTGAGTAGTAAGATCAACATCAAAATTTTGTGCTTAAGTCTTTCTTCTCTTATTTGCATCTTCATCAAGATTTTGTTTCATTTGATATTGAACATCTGGAGGCACCTTTTTACATGTTTCAACTTGAACTTTTATTCCAGCCAAATGAAATTTGAACCTATTAATCCCCCCTCCTCTAATAATTTTATCACAGTAAATACACAAATTAACAAGTTTTCTTTTCTCTTCAATTTGTTTACAATGACCCCAAACTATATCAGTTTTTCCCATACTGCTCTGGAGTTGGGTTGGATTTTGAGATGTAACTTCTTCCGAAGTTATTACTTCAGCGGGTGATGCCATATCTAATATCAATCAAAATTTAAAAATACAAAACTATATTACAAAAATATTAACAAAACACAATTCTAAACAAAAATTATTGAATTTATAATAACATTATAAGAAACATTAAATATGTAGCATATCTAAATCCAAAATATATGAATATGTTATTGTATATTACATATAGGCTACCAAGCATCGTTACTGTGCATCACCATATATAATAAAAAAAATAGAAACTTTGCTTTCTAGCCTTTGCTATATATTTTAGATTAATAAAATCCTGAAACTTTTCTTTGTTATATAATTTAAATTAATAAAAAACAGAAAACTTTGTCTTACTATATAATTTAGATTACATAATTTTAAACCTAATTTCTATCTCCATAATATATACAACGAATACAACAACTTCATTACCAGTCTATAATAAGTTAATTCATAAAAGTATAAAACTGCTTCATTCATACAAATTCTATATCAATTTGTTAAACTAAAAGATCCAATTTTATAGAAAATGATCAAATTTAATCATTTATTTTCTATATCAACTAATCAACAAAATGAAACAATAATATTCATATTGAAAAACATCAATGCAAATTAGACCAAGTAAAAAAGAAATAACCTGTGTTTGATGTTTTGATGAAATTTTTGACGGCAAATAAGGAATATCAAATAACATCAACAAGTGAGAGTTTTTGTTGGTAGAGAAAATTGAGAATACGACTTCAATTAGAAAAAGAAAAGACAGAATAAAAAAGAAAATCTTTCAAATGCCTAGGTTTGGGAAACGAGGAGGCAAAACGTTTATGTTAATTTTTTTTCAAAAGCCCTAAAAAATAAAATAAATAGTCAAACCCGTCGGTTCAATAAAAACCGCCGGTTCACTGATTTAACCGGTGATCCGACCGGTTCACATCGGTTTCATCCGATCTAAATGTAATTCCGGTCTTATCCCTTAATCGGACCGCCTGACCCACCAGTTCTCGGTCAGACCGGCCGGATCGGGCTGAGTTTTAAAACACTGATTGTGACACAGATTCTATTGAAATTTTGAAAAAAAATTCTGTAATCAAGATTGTTGTTAGAGTCTACCATATTAAGAATTTAGCTAATGTTAAAAGACCTATATAAATGAGAAAAATTCATGTTATATTGTAAATACAAATAACTCATTATTCTAATTAATTTTAAGACATCATGGAGTGTAGATATTCATTTAGAACTGAAATTTAACGGAAAACTGTCATATATTGTAGTTTTTAAAAATTGTAAATATCATATATTAAGAAGGATTTAAAACTAATATTTGACGGAAAACTGTCATAAATTTTAGGTTTGAAAAAATTGACTAATATCTAAAAAGTAAACTATATAATAATATTTACACTGTAGTTTGAATTGGAAAATAATTTTATTCTTTTCTGCAGTTTTAAAATTAATTCACCTGAATTCAATTGAGTTTTGTTAACTCATATAGATTTACGGATAGATGTGAAATATATATAAGATATGAGTCGTAGACGGATCATTTTAATGTCTATCTTTTAAGTATTTCTTTTGCTATTATTATATATAATTAAAATTATAAAAATAATTGTCTGATTTATTATAAATATGAATAAATATTTAAAAATTAGTAGTAAAAAACATTAATGTGAATTTTAATTCAAAATACTGTTTAGTTCAAAATAGATTGAATTTTGGTTGAATTATATTAAATTATTTTTAATATATATATAAAGGAATATACTAATAATATCTCATTATTTCAGGAAAAAAAATCTCACAATTTCATTGTATTAACTAGGGTAGAACGACACATTAGCGACCCGAGCCTCCAAGGGTTTCATCAGGTGTGGCTATATTTCAATTCTTGATCATCATTCCTCACTAACCACCATCGTATACCACCACAATCCCTCATCGCCGAACCCTAAAACGGTACCGTTTTCGCCGCATAAATCGCATACATCACAGTGTTCCTCTAGTCGCGGAGGTTCACTGGCCACACACCATGGCTCTATCACTCGGGAAGATCACCATTCTCCTTGGTGCAGGTACACACACTCTTCTCCACCTTCGATTTTCATTCCTTCAATTTTTCACGGTTTCTCTAAACCGATGTAAATCACCGTTTTCCCGTTTGATTCGTTGTTACGGTGTATGGATTCGTCAAAAAATTGGAATCTAGGTTATTATAATTGTGCTGAATTTTATATCAAGGTTTTTATGCGGTCGCGTAAAGGCTTTCGCGATTTCGGTATGGTGTGAATTAACATACGGTATCAGTATCGGCACCTGACATTATCATTCGGTCAGTAACACTGATTGCAGTTGTTACAGCTGTTTTCACGGTTGCAGACCGATTTTTAAAACCTTGTTTAACATTATGAATTATTATTTGTAATATATTTTGATATGAAAATCGTCACTGAAATGATATTGTTTGTGTTTTAGGTCTTGTTGGTTCAGCAATTGCTAAAAAAGAAGGTCTATTGCCAGATGTATCTGGTCTTGTATCTGGTGCTTTCAAGGTTAGTTTTTGTAATGTTTCTTGGAAGGTTATAGGAAACTAAGACAAGAGACTGTAGGCATGCTTGAATTGGCTTATTTGAGCTTTTTGGGAGAACTTATGGAAATAGCTTGTGACATTGTTCATAAGTTATTTTCAGCTGATTTTTGTGAGGTTATAACTTATAGGAAGAGTATTTGACTTTAATTGTATCTTTTGTTATACAAAATAGCTTACACACAAGTGCTTGTGCTATAAGCCACGAATAAATTGTTTATTCAAACGTGGTGTATGTTGTTTGGATAGAACCCAACAATGTTGCTGATTCATGCCTCAGGCTTCCGATTTCAGCTTTCACTATTGGTTATTGTAAACATCGCTTCACTTTGTGCTGCATATCAAAAACCTATAGTTTGGCAAAGTTCTTGGCGTTGTTATTATTTGTTTGTTGTTAGCTCCGAAATCGATACATATTTGTGAGTATGGGTGGTTGTCATTTATTGTTGAGAATTAATGTTGCATGCTCTATAATGATTTGAACTCTTTCTTTGACCAGGTTTTAAGGCAACTTCAAAGCTCTGATCCTACTCCAACTGTTAAAAACCCACAAAATGATGCTTTGCGTGCTCAGGTCTGTATGACGTTTTTCAATATTGATTAGATTTGAGTAACCATTTTACAACTATCCCTAGGGGATTTGAACTCCGTCTTAGTTGCAACTTACAAAGTCAAGCTCTTACCGCTTAGCTGACACCTCTTTTAGTTGTATTTTGAATATTTGTTATATACTAGTTACTAAGGTACCTACTGAATGCTCTATAACTTGTTGAGCTGTACTTGTGTTGGAACTGTGAGTAGTGTCATTTGCATGTATGAAAAAATTGAAAAGAAATTGAAACAGGTCATCAATGTACTATGTGTATTTATATAAATTCTTGATTCTTTGGTTTCTCCATTTTTAAGTGGGTACTGATCTGCAGTTTTGAAAAACTTAGTCCAAGTCAAAACTTAAAGCACCATTTAAACTAGTGCTGGAGATTGCACTACTTATTGGTGTGTAGCAGAGTAGCACCTAGCCATTAACGAACATGCATGGGTAAAATAGCGGTCAACCAATGGTGCAATCTCGGCAGTGCAGCTGTTGGCTGCTATGATGATGCCAAATATGTTGTGTATCACTGGCTAGACCGCCATATATGCATTTGCGTGGAACAAAATGACACCACATTGGCCGTGATAGTGAAAAACAGAAAAGGTAATCTGGACAAAGAAATAGTGAATCTTCACATTAGGAGGAGGAGGGAGAGGGTGAAGTAGAAGTTAAGAATCACCTTATGAAGGGAGAAGACAACATGGTGTGCTTGAATTTTATCGTGCTTGGGCCTTAGATCACAGCTGTGACAAATTCCGGATCCTTAAAAAATGTTAGGCCTCGAGTACCCCAGGGGCTTTAAAAGAAGAAATAGTTGTTAGTAATGATAAACAAATAATAAAATAACAGTAACGTAGTCAAATAAAAATAATAGTATATAGTATTAAATGACCAAAAATTGAATAAAAAAATGATTACTTGTATATATTTAGGATAGAAATTAAAGTATTTAAAGATATGTAGTATTAACTATTTAGATTAATCAGATATGAACTTTTTAAATTTATATAATATATGTAAGTTATTTTGATATATACAGGGCCTGTTTGTATAGATTAAAAAAGTGATTTTATTTTTATATTTTCAAAAATGTTTTTTATGAGAACTCCCTGAAAAATAGTAGAAGTTATTTAAAACTCGTTTGTTATAAATTAAAAGAATACTTTTGATATCTAGTAACTTAAATTAAAGTTTTTGCATGCTGTGGAAAATCTAATAATCTTACTTGAAGAGGTTAACAATGGTAAATTTACTTGTTCATATTGGAAATGGAAATAAATATATATTTGTGAACCTTACTCTTCTTCCATTTGTACTTTAAGCATGTTGTTTTTTATTAAACTTGATATGTATCATTTGGAAACAAGGTAAGATGAGGTATTGCTAGTCACAGATCTTCAGATATTAGGTGCAAGTTTTTATAGTTTATGCAGAAACTTTAAAGTTCTATTTGGTTACTATTACCAATGCTAGTTGTAATGTAGGGTAATTGACAATTCTGCTTATACTTGTGATCTACAGGTTGATAGCCTTCGGCAGGAAATAGAATTTCTATTAAGAGAAAAATCAATCATTTTTGTAAATCCAAGTGGATCAGGTTATGCTTATCTACTCCCTTTCTCATATTATAGGGCCCTTCTATTATTCTTCTGGAATTTAGTCAGTGCTAACATGTTGCTTTTTGACTTTTCAATCACTGGATTTTAAATTGTGCTTTGTTTGCATGATCGTGTCCATATTTTTGTCTGAGCTATAAAGTTTTTCCTCCTTATCTTTGTGTCATTTTCTGACATTTTTGACAATGTACATCAGGAAGAAAATATGTAACAGTGGTCATAATTGGGGTAGGATGTGGATGCCTTTGGTGGAAGGTATTGCCTCTGTCTTTTGTGAATTGTTAATTTGATTAACGGGATGCTGTAGCCATGCATCCTTGTAGGAAACTTGTGTGGCCAAAAATGGAATTCAAATGTTGGTACTTTTAACAGCGTTATATGCTATGTATCACATTATCAGTGTTGTGTTTGAATGTTTATTAAATCATGCAAGATATCTGAACTTTTTTCCACGGGTTTCTCTTTCAATCATATTTAAATTTGTTCAAATGTGATTTGTGGCTGTTTTGTGGTATCTATCTGGTTGGATTAATTTGTCTAATATTCAATATGACTGGCCAAACTACACCGATCATTCTTTTTCAAGTTTAGGATTTTCTAATTGTCTAATGCAATTCATTTTAAGCTCAATTCATGTTGCTACCAATTTTTCATGTTCCTTGAGGTTGGATTATTTAGTTGGCAAAAGTCAAGGAGTTTATTTGTGGATAAACTTTTTAGAATTAAAAAATAACTTTTGAAACTATGGTGGATAATCAACAAAATTACTGGCATAACAGTGCATGTTACATATATTATGATCATAAATTCTTTGAAGGTCGTCCCCCCTCTCTCTATGAAGATGATTGAGTTATATTGCCTTGCTATATTTACAGGGATGGATTCCTAATATGATGTTTGCAACAAGGCGCAGTTTAAATGATGCCTGTACAGGCATTGGTAATCAGCTAGGGAAGGTTTATGAATCAATTGAGGTAATTTTATTTTATTGTTGAATATTTGTTTTCTTAGATTGCAATAAACCTCACATATTGTCTTATTGATGGCCTTAAATTATAGCTTTTTGTTAGCTAGGACATTGATATATCAAGTAGTTTGATGGATTTACTCTGTCCACATAAAATAGTTTTGCACCAACATCCAATAGATGTTCATATTTTGGCCGCATATTAGTATTTTGAAATAATCCAAAGAAACTAAGATTAAAAAACCTTAAGAAAATCCCAACTACATCATTCTCTGCCGTTGTTTGTCAAACTCCATTTTTTTCTTCCCTCACAATCCTAACAATCCCTCATGTTAACGAGGTCACTTGGCTTTTATCCACATGATACATGAAGCGTAGCCGACCATTATTTTAGAATACCAAGCTCGCCGTTTGAAGTGTTTAGGGGTGAACCCAAAAGAATATCAAATAGGGTGCACAATTTTTTTAAATAATATATAATACCTGAGAAAATTAGAGAGGTGCTATTGTTTTACGAAGAAAAAAAGCACGACTGCTGCAAGAAGGAAAAAAGTATTGCCGAATTTCTATTTGCTGAAATAAAAGTGAAAGTCAAACAAAATTAAAACACCATCCAACAGTTAGAATGTATTTACCGGAGAGATAGGGATTTTATGATGTGCTTAGACGACCTGCGAGATGAAAAAGAGCTCTTGCTGTTGTGTAAGTAGGATCTCACCTTGAGGGAAGGTGGTGTTGCCTGGAAACTGAGGCCGTGATTGGAGGGCTGACGCAGAAAGGAGTTCAACGAAGAAATGAAAATCCTGAAACGAATTCAACTAAGACACAAATTAAGAAACTAAGTATCAAGTAAACACGGAATCGCAAAAACAGGGGATCCGAACAATGCTACAGTTTCTCTAGACTAAACATTAATAAAAAATGTATTGTATTTAGTTGGACACATTTAAGTCAATGTAGCTTCATAAAAAGGGTGATACAAATAGTCTTTTTCTCTTCATTTGCTGGATGCAGATTTCCTGCTGACAAGAATACCTGCATTCTTGCAGTCAAACAGTGAACCTTGTTCATCCAATGGTTCTTATCCGTTCTATTTCAGCACTCCATCTTTTTGGACCAAAGTTGCATCATCCCACTTAGAAAAACGCCTCCCATCTTGCTTCCATAAAGCCTCCGATGCCCTATTCCATTCGTAGTGGCTGTGTATGCCGGCGGCCTCCTTGACGCCAAGCCACTGTCTTGGTCACAGAGAAGCTGAAGGATGCTCACTAAATCAACATTCCTATCAAAATTTGTTCTATCCATCTGCTTTCCAAACCCCTTTTTAGTTTTGTTTTTCTCTTCCTATTTTAATTCATTTTTAGTCATGGAGGAGGAAAGCTTTTTGACAGCTTAGTTGATATCCCAAATTCAGTTTTTTGTTCTCTTGAAGCCCCTTTTGAAACAGTTTCTTGGGATGCATTTTTAGGCCTTTATATACATTTATAGCTTCTGATGTAACTCTCAGGTTGGTTGAGATATTTTATTTTTTGAGTTGCATTATTCATACCGAACATACAGTCAAAGAAAAAATTCTACATACGGAACATATGAATGTAGGCTTAAAAGGAAATAAATAAACAAAAATGATGTTGTAAAGCTTCTTCTGTTTTGGAGGAAATAAACCGAAGCAAGTGATTTGAAAATGGAAGAAAATAACAAAGCAAGCTGTGTTCTGATCTTCTGGCTCCAAATCATGTATTTGAAGGTGGGTTTTCTCTAAGGTGGGTCAAAGCCATTATATGGCATAACTGGGAACTGAAATTGAACGGATGTGAACAGTTGGATGAATCGGATGGCTAATGTTTGCCTGACTTTATCAATGAGGGGTTCCTGGAATCTGCATCCTCCTTTGCATAGGGGAAAGTCTGACAATTGTCTTTTTAACTGTTTGCTTTCTTGTCTCTAAGCTTTAATGTGACAATTTAAACAAGTCTGACAAATAGTATATGAATAAACAATTATTAAATTATTTGGTTTATAAAATATTGTAAAAATCTATTAAATAGAAAATGAAATCGAAGATAAAGTTATTTTAATGAAACAATATAAATTGCTCAAACAAAATAAGTTAATATAACATTTAGTCTTAATATAGTATTTAACCGTTTTATGAATATTAAATGTGTCATAGTATTTGTTGGACATTTTTCAATGCCAGTGTGAATTATTTTTCGAGCAAGGTTGGTAGTTGTCTATTCAATTGAACTCTAATTTGACATACACAAGAAAAACCAGTTGACTTAATTTTTATCGTTTTTATAACCGCATTCAATTGACCTTCCATCTTGATTTATCTGCAAGCTTCTGTCTAATTTTTATTTACATTAAAGATATAATTAATTTACATTGTAAGATATAATTAATTTTGTGAGGAGCTGCTTGTTATCTCTGCATTCTGTTCAGTTTACTTTTCTTAGTTCTTACTTTCTCAAGACTAGGAGAACAAAGTGAAGGATTTACAATTTACTTATTATTTGTAATGATTGTAGCAAGCCAAAAAGAATATATCTGCTAGAATTAATGGCGTGGAAAAGATAATGGATGAATCTGCAGTCATCGTAGAAATTATCGAAGATGATGTGAGTAAAAATGTTTCAAAGCGTTTTTGTTTTTGGCTTCTTTGTTATTCAACAATATTAATATAACTTCTGTTACAGATCAATAAAATACGAAATGAAACAGAAAAAATAAATGGAGATATGACCGGTGTTGATACTTTTATCCGTGTTATTGTAAGTCATTTTCAGGAATTCAGTTATTTCTTTGAAAAATTTGCTGGATATCCAACATTAGCTGACTGTTTTGCTTTTCAGGAATCTAAAATCAGTGAAATAGAAGGGAATCAGGTATATTCAATTAAACTCTAGTAATTATTACATTTATTTAATAATAACCATTTTTGTTATTTGACGGATCTGATATTGTTCATAGCTGTGGTTTACTCTTTCTGTTTGCTTAGATTGCCACAAATTTAAAAATTGAGGGAATATGTCGAATTACTGATGGTTTGCAGAATGGCACTGCACAGGCGTCTATTCAGGCATGGATACATATCATTACAAATGGATTTTTGTTTGGTCGCTTCATAATTTGAATATCCGATTTTTTGTATCACGTTCTTTCTATTTACTTGCTATTTTATTAGTAATATACTTTTAAATTATATAGGCACCCTTATCCAAGCCAACCCTTGAGCTACCGCCTCCCAGCGTAAGCGTTTCACCATCTCCCAGCGTAAGCGTTTTCCTTTTGCAGGCCTATTATGCCCTTTTAGAAAACTGTATTCTACTTTAGACATGATAGTGTTGTTTATTATAAATAGGAAATTTCTTAGTTGAACAGTATATTTAGAATTTATTTTGATTAAAAGCCAAATAACGGTTGCACATTCCATAAGTTAGACTTTATACTTCAGTCCTCTTCATTTTTGTAACTTATTGCTGTTATATCTTAATTATATAGGCTCTGCCGTCAGGTCCTTCCAGGCTATATCTTGAGCAGCCTTCTATTACACCAGTAATATCACGGGTAACTTTCAATTGAAAGCTTTTCCTGCATCCTGTCCACTGTGCTTCGTTTATGCATTTCTAATTTCTTTTACCATTCGTTCTCTTATCAGACTGGGTCCGTGCCTCCAATTAGGTCAGCTGATCCACCATCTCCATCAAATACGGTTGTATCTGACCAGGTTTGCAATATTTCTGATTTACTTGATTCATATAAATCAGGGCCTCTCATCATAGTCATATATTTTAATCCATTAATGAATTGCTGTGTCTTTTCAGGAGAGCAGTGAAATTTCAGAACAGAGAAATTTCTCTAGTAGTAATGTGAATTCTATGAAGACTCCTCCTATAGAAAACAAGAAGATCAATGGATCTAGTGCCGGTGGCTTTTTTGGGATAAACTTGTCAAGTGTCTATGCTCCATTGCTGAGAACTCGCAGTGCAACCAACTCAGTAATACAACAAACTCGTCCAACTAGATGATAACAGGACCAGGCCCGGCCTATTTTTTCTTTTTTTGATTTCCAGTAATTATAAATGAATAGATATTTTTGGGGATGGTGTTCACTGATAAGCGGAGGCTATTCCGAGATTGTATGCACCATCATACAAGTATGTTAATGTCAAAGCCAGTCTTAGTCTTATTAGAGAAACGACTGAGCAGTGAATTTTGCAGACTATTTATTGATTTCCTTAGATTGTTACTAAAATAAAAGTTTCTCTATTATTTAACCACTATAAAGCCCAGAATTGTCGTAAACTCTTTATTCTCCTTATTATTGAGAATGAAACACAATTGTTAAGAATTTTACACGTTTGAGGTTTCGAATTCTTTTGTTGAAAAATTACAGTATATTTAGTTTATTATTTTTTTAAGTTGACCAACCTCGTTTTATAATTTTTCTTGCAATTTACATGACATTTGACGATTGCAATTCTTTTTGCAAAGTACATTACATTTCTGCTGGTGGTTCTTTTTGTAAAACTTTTGTAAATTACATTACATTTGTGCTGATGGTTAGTCTTTCAAATTTTCATTGAGGTTGTTAGAAACCATCCTCGCAATTCAAGCATGTTTTTTAGATACATATTTGAAATTATTATATTTAAAAAAAAAAGTGTTTTATGTTTGAATAAATCTTATTTTTTATGAAAATATATGTTCTTAGATATGTATATTCGAAAAGTTCTCTGTTGGAACTTTATTTTTTACGAAAATATGTGTTTTTAAATATGTATATTTGAAAAGTTCTCTGTTTTTTTTAAGTTGTACTCCCTCTGTCTTATATTATAAGAGAAATTTACTTTTTAAATTTATTGAATAATTAATGTATATGATCTAAATATATTAATTATTCAATCAATAAAAAAAGTGAATTTCTTTTATAATATGAAATAGAGAGAGTAGGAAAAAATTGTTTGCAAGATCATCATCACCTTTTGTGTTACAACATTGTCCGAATAAAGACAACAAAAATTTACAATTATATGAGCTGATAAGATAACTATGCAATTGTAACATGAATTATGATACATTAAGGCATTTGATTAAAAAATAAATTATTGTTCTGTCCATGAAATTTTATTAAATTCATTGTAGTGTCAAATAGAAGCCATAGTAGAATGCATATATGATATTTTTGTGGCTTTCGCACCCTGGTTCTCATGGGAATGAAGTCCTAGTAATCTAAAATTTGTGCTGAGAGGTATAGACACTGACTAAATATTGTTTCCACTTAAAAATCGAATTCGATAGCATTCACGAATTTTCACCAACCACTTTGACATATCTGTAAAGAATGACAACTCCAAAGTATTTAATGACTGAAATTGTAGTTTAAAATAGATTTTTTTTGCTTTCTGCCATCTGCAATCAATAAAATTGCATACTAATGCTCAAAATTGATGATCTAAATTTACCATTGTAAGTTAAGATTTTGAGGTTTTCACATCAGATAACTTTTTGGGTATATATATTCGAAAATATATTTTTTTCGTAAAAAATATGATTTATTTAGAGATATGTATCCTGTTGGTTTCAGATTTTGAAATATTTGCCACCGAAGAAATTATCAGGTTGAGTCGCAGACTAGGTCGCTCTCTTTAAGACGTATCGCGCCACTGCTCAAAATTATGCAAAGCAATCAAACTACCGCGCCGCCTCCAGGATAAAACAACCAAGTTCTATACTGTACGATTACTACTTGCATGATAGATAATCGGTCTAGAAATACACCCTCTGATGATACAAGACCATTCAAATATGGTATCAACACCACTCGTAGTATCTGGTACAAAGACCAGTCATAATAATTTCTCAAACAAAAAGAAACTCAAATAATTCTCCAAAGAGAATATAATAATGGTCATTTGACCACTCATAATAATTTCTCTAACAAAGAGAAATTCAAAAGATTAATCTTGAAAATTTCTCAACTCAAATGAGGAGAAATTAACATAATTCTCTAAAGAGAATTCAAGAAAATATTCGAAAAATTCAACGAGTATGAAGAAAGGGGAAGAAGATGGCGCTTCGACAATTCGAGAGACGCAGAGTTATGAGAGTGAGAAAGGAAAAACTAATAGAGTAGTTTTTGGTGTGATTTGGAATGAAACATATGCACTCCTTATATAGTGAAGTAGGATAGTTAATATTTCTCACATGAGCAATGTGGGACTAAATGGTTTTTTCAACCAAAAAAATATTCTAACAATGTGGGACTTGAGAAATTTTTAAATTCAACATATTGAAACATGGACATGTTCCAACAATCCCCCACTTGAATTTAAAAAATTGATTTTAGAAGTAACGTCAAACGTTTCTAAGATTGTGCATAAACAAAGGTGTCTACGACTTGAACCTTTGCATAGCAAGTAGGATTCCAATTCAACAAGAGTGACACAAATGTCTTGAACTCTATCTCAGACATCAAACCCGCACACAACCTTTTCTTAAAGTGTATTCTAATAGTCCGTGCTTTAATGGCCCTGCATGTGTATCCCAGTTTAATGAAGGCTCTAGGAATCCTGCCTCGAAATTCCATAGGAACCGGCCTAAGTTCCACAATCACATAGGTGAGTCTATCAAGAGTACTCCTGTAGCCTAGGTACTTCCTCATACAGAGTATAGATCTCATTAAGAGTTTCTATCATCTCATCCTCTTATTACTTCAGGATTCATGCTTTACTTGCATGATCATCTCATATTACTCATAACTTGTTATTACCCATTGAACCTATTTCTTGGGATCTCCAGTCATTTAGGTCGGGTTACCATCATGAGCAACTCATTTTCCTATAGGAATTAGTCCCATCTTATATGATGTATTATAGACTTTCTCTCTAGCTAATCCTTTCGTCAAAGGATCTGCTAAATTTTCATCAGTGCGTACATGATCCACTCTTACAGCTCCTTTAGAGATACAATATCTAACAGTGTTGTGCTTTCTTCTTATTTGACGTCTTTTACCATTATAATAACGGTTCTCAATTTTTGCAATAGCCGCGGTACTATCGCAGTGGATCAACATAACTGACATATGTTTTTCCCATAAGGGAATCTCAGTCAGCAAGCATCTTAACTAACTTGTTTCTTCACTAGCAGTCGCTAATGCTATATTCTCAGGATAGTATGTTTCTTTGATTTCCAAGATACAACTCCTCTAGCTATGTTGAATACATAGCCACTAGTTGCTTTGGAATCATTTGATAAGGTATTCCATTCTGCATCATTGTATCCTTCAGGTACAATAGGAAATCTCTGATAATGTAAATCGAGATTCATGGTCCTTTTAAGGTACCGTATGACTCGCTCAATAGCTTGTCAATATTCATTACTCGGTCTACTAGTAAACCCGCACAACAATCCCACGACATATACAATGTCAGGTTTGGTACAATCAATGGAATACCTAAGACTTCCAATGATGCTCGCATGTTCTGTTTGTCTAACACTTTCACCAGTGTTCTTAAACAGCTTCACGCTTTGATCATTTGGTGTGCTCACAGGTTTACTGTCAAAGTAATTATATTTCTTTAAGATCTTTTTCACATATTGTGATTGATCCAAAGAAATTCCTTGCTCGGATTTTATAATCTTAATACCAAGAATCACACTCACTTCTCCGAGATCTTTCATATCAAAGTTGTTGCACAATAATGATTTCATATAATTAATGGCCTAAGTGTTTGATCCAAATATGAGTAGATAGTCTACATATAGACATATGATAGTGCAAATACAATTCTCAAATTTGTAATAAATGTATTTGTCACTTTCATTCACTTTGTACACATTCGATATCATTAAGTTATCAAACTTTACATACAATTGCTTTGGAGCTTGTTTTAGCCCACACAAAGACTTATCTAACTTACAGACCTTGTTTTCTTATCCATAGATTACAAACCCTTCCGGTTGTTTCATATAGATTTCTTCTTCTAAGTCACTGTTTAAAAAAGTTGTTTTAACATCCATTTGGTGTACTATTAAGTTATAAATAGCAGCTATTGAAATAAGTACCCTAATGGATGTAATTCTAGTGACAGGAGAAAAGGTGTCGAAGAAATCTATATTTTCTCTTTGTCTAAAACCTTTGGCAACAAGGCGAACCTTGTATTTATCAATAGTTCCATCAGGTTTTAGTTTCCTTTTCATGATCTATTTACAACCGATTGGTTTGCAACCAGGAGGCAAGTCTACTAAGTGTCAGATCTTGTTAGATTCTAGAGATTCTATCTCATCATTGATAGCTTCTTGCCATAACTAAACATCCAGAGATGACAAGGCTTCTTGAAGATTCATTGGATCTTCTTCTACATTATAAGCCGCATAATCAGGCCTATAGTCTTTAACAACTCTTACTCGTTTACTTCATTGAAGTTCTGTTTCTACATTGTCGTTTCTTTCTGTGCTTCTTATCACAGGAATGTGACTCGATTGTGTGCCCCCACTATTTCTCAATTTGAAAGGAAATTTGTCTTCATAGAACTCAACATCAGTTGATTCTATGATCACTTTTTCCTTTAGGTCATAAAACCTATATGCTTTACTGTTTGCTGCATACCGAATGAAAACACATTCATATGCTCTACTAGCGAGTTTAACTCGTTTCGGATCCGGAATTCTGACATACGTAAGACAACCCCAAGTTCTCAAATAAGACAAGTTTGATTGCCTTTTCTTTAATATCTCATAAGGAGAGATCTTACATTTTGACTTGGGGACTCTATTCAGGACATAGCAAACAGTCAATAAAATTTCCCCCCACCAGTGAGGTGCAGCACCAGAATTTATCATAATTGCAACAACAAGTTCAGTAAGAGTTCTATTATTTCTTTCTGTTTTACTATTCATTGCAAGATAGTATGGTGCAGTTGTTTCATGTACAACTCCATGTATAAAATTCATTAATAAACTAGAATCATACAGTCTATCTATCACTGTACATTCTTATTATATCATTTTCAAATTCTTTACAAGA